CGACTCTCTACCCTGAATCATATGTCTCTGTCAAGGCTCAAAATGCTAAAGTCTCAGGTAATATCGAGCAAAAGGCTAACTGGTTTGGCGACATAATTCCAACTATTGGGTGGGTGATCCCACTCATTCGTCAGCGATGCGGTGATGCCTCGCCACGCCGAAAGGCTGGAAATCCTATTGACCCCCATCGGTTCTTTTGTAGTGCATGCATTCTGAAGTGGTTGCATACTGTGCCTTGCATGGGTTCGTATGCGGGTCTCCGGGTTTCCCAGTTCGCATAGATTCTTTCCGTGCCTCGGGAACCAATAATCGACCTCACTCTCCATGACTAAAAATGCTTGAAAGAACGATTCTTGATGCAGGTGCCTGGAGGCTGGTGACTAGTAGCCCAGTCACGAATCCTTCGGCCCCATTGAGAGAGAGGGGTGGTCGCCATTTTGCTGGGGGTGGTCAGCGATAAGGCAGCGGCGGAGTCGCCCCGGTGGCCGATATCGTGATTTTTCGAACATGAGAAATGTCGAGCTTTGTATTACCCCTCAGACATCCACAACATCTACCCATGAGGTTTGTTTTGGCCTTCCAGATGCGGGTTGGGGGCAGTGTGATGGGATCCATGTCTAGGCTTGAATCCTCTCATGGCGGTCAGCCGGTGCAGCGGGGCGAGGCTTCTACTGAGGTTCCGCCGTGCTATTCTCGAAATGGAACCAAGGCACTTCAGAACTCGCTGCTCTGGAAAAGTGATTACGACTGAGGGAACACCCAGGTGGTCCCGTTGCATCTGCTTATGCTGGGATCCTCTACCATCTTTTGAAGCGTAGAACTTTTCAGATTTTCCCCATGGTTTCTGAACAATCGCTTGCTCCTGAGACAGCCGGTGTTAATATGGATGCCCAGCAGGAAAAGGGCAATGTGCTCGACAGCAGCACTCAGTCTGATGAATCCCACTCTGAAGAGTCGAACACTAACGAAAGCGAGAGCCTTCCGGGATGGAAGATATTCGTCATTTGGCTGGCCATTGCACTTGGTGTTTTGTGTACTTTCCTCGATGAAGGCATCATTGCGACAGCCATTCCCCGCATCACTGATGAGTTTGGATCTCTCACAGACGTTGGTGTAAGTCGCATTGCATTCCATGAACAGACTCCAATCCAGCGAACTAGGGCTAATAAGTTTATAGTGGTACGGCTCAGCATATCAAATGACTCTTTGCGCATTCCAACTCATCTTCGGGCGCCTGTACAACCAGTTCAATGTCAAGATCATTTTCGTGATCTCTCTCGTCATCTTCGAAATTGGGTCCCTCATATGCGCAGTGAGCCCGAGCTCAGCAGTCTTCATCGTCGGACGCGCCGTCGCCGGCCTCGGTGCATCTGGCCTCCAAAGCGGCTGCTTGGTACTCATCTCAGCAGCCCTTCCTGCAAAACATCTGCCGATGTACGTAGGTGCCATAGGTATGGTCTATGGTGTTGCAGCTGTTCTCGGGCCGGTGGTAGGCGGCGTTATCACGAACAGCTACCTCACGTGGAGATGGTAAGTGGTATCCCGTTGCTTGAATCTGCTCGCCATGCAGCATCTACCTTGCTAATAACAAATCGTTATCAGGTGTTTCTACATCAACCTTCCAATCGCCGGACCACCTGCTCTCGCGACGTTGTTTCTGGTCAAGTCGTCCCCACCAACCGAGGAGCAGCGGCGGCCTTGGCTGCAGAAAATCCGGGGCTTGGATTATCTTGGCATGCTCCTCTTACTGCCAGGGATCACCTCATTCCTCCTGGCCCTCCAATTCGGAGGCGCGCTTTTCGCGTGGGATGACAAACGAACCATTGCATGCTTTGTAGTCGCTGGCGTCCTCGTCATCGGCTTCGTGGCCGAACAGTGGTGGATGGGCGAAAAGGCGCTGGTGCCGCCGCGCCTAGCTAAGACGCGTGTGATTATCTTTGGGGCCTTTTTCGGTTTTTGCTTGGACAGTGCCTTTTTTACTCTCGTTTACTACGTATGATACCCAATTTTTTTAAAAGATGCTGTTCAGCACAGAACACAAGCTAACAGCTCTTATAGGTGCCTCTCTGGTTTCAAGCCATTCAGGGTGCCACGCCTGAGGAGTCTGGTGTTCGATACCTGGCCTTGTGTCTAGCATTTATCCTCACCATTTTCCTCAGTGGCTGGGGTGTCACAAAGACGGGTTACTACCAGCCTTTCATGCTCGCTGGTACCGTTCTTGTCTCTATTGGCGCCGGTCTTCTCTCGACGCTCAAGGTATCTTCAGGCGCGAACCTCTGGGTTCCCTTTCAAGTCATCGCCGGGCTTGGTATTGGGGCATCGACACAGCAAGCAGCGGTCGCTGTCCAGAGCAGTCTGGAAGAGGCCGACGTTGCCATAGGAGTGGCGGTGGTACTATTCTTCCAATGCTTCGGTCCTACTACTGCCATCACAGTTGCCCAGGCCGTGTTCGCAAGCACGTTAACGTCGGGAATAATCTCCAACGTCCCAGGGGTAGATCCCGAAGCAATTAGAAACTCGGGTGCAACTCAACTTAGAGACTTGGTATCTCCGGACCAATTTGGTACACTACTACAGGTATATAATCATGCCATCACCAGGACATTCATAGTTGCTGCTGTCATGGCCGCGGCGAGTGTCATTGGCGTTGCTGGTGTTGGACTAAAGAAGATTCCTGGGGAGGGTGACGAAAAGAAAGACGCCGAGGGCAAGTGATATATTCGTTGCGAGAAAAGAAGACTTTCGATATGGAAACGATATATAGAGACTACATACTAGCTTCAATGACGACAGATATCAGCAGTAACCCACAAAAGGAGTCAGTGATTACAGTCCAATCTACAACATCATGCAGGGTTAAGATTGTCAGTCAGTCACGGATCCTAGCGCTCATAATAAAGAAATCCCTGTCTTAGTCATCGTCAATGCATCGTGGAAAAGGCCCAATGACGGTGTATCCAGCTGTCCGGAGTGGGTCAAGCCAACTTCTGACAATCCCCGTTACAACTTGCCTTAGCCACACAGCGTTGCATCCGTCCGTTCTCAATGACATCTTGACAATTGACTTTCCGTTCTCCGGAACCCCAGATCTCCAAGCTGTCGTCGGATCGCAGCTTCGAGGTTTGTCTTCAGCAGACTTTCCGTTCTGCAGCTTTCTTAGCTGCCAGCTCCGGGCCACACTCAAATGGACGACCATAACGCAGCTGTCAAGCGCATCGCTGAGGTCGTAAGGGACTTCCACTCGCGCCGGGAACCTTTCCGCATCTTTCACGGTTCCACCAGCAGCACCCGGCCCGCCCACCACCAGCGCGTCGTCGACATCAGCGAGCTGCATCATGTTCTGCACATCGACACTGCGGCCGCCGTCGCCGTAGTCGAGCCCAATGTCCCCATGGACCAGCTCGTTGCGGCCACCTATCGGTGCGGGTTTGTCCCACCTGTCGTTATGGAGTTTCCGGGCATCACTGTCGGCGGCGGCTTCGCCGGGTCAGCCGGAGAGAGCAGCTCCTTTCGCTACGGGTATTTTGACCAGACGGTGCAGTCTGTAGAAATGATTCTCGCGAGTGGGGAGGTCGTTAATGCCTCCCAGACCGAGAATCCAGATCTCTTCAAGGGTGCGGCAGGGGCGCTGGGGACCCTTGGTATCGTCACAAAACTGGAGCTGCAGTTGCTGAAGGCCAAGCAATTCGTCAAGCTCAGCTATCACTCGTACTCGACAATTCCGGAAGCCGTTGCTGCGATACAACGGGAGACGAATCTGGCGCACAATGACTACGTCGAAGGACTGGTCTTTTCGAGGACGAGCGCCGCTGTTGTTACGGGTCATATGACGGATGATCTGCCCGAAAAATGCCAGCCACAGACATTCAGCAGATCCAAGGATCCTTGGTTCTATCTGCATGCACGGAAGCGAATCGCAAATGGCACACCGACGCCGGATTATGTACCGCTGCAGGATTACTTATTTCGGTACGACCGGGGTGCATTCTGGATGGGCGAGTTGGCCTTCAAATATTTTGGCTTTGTCCCTTTCAATCGACTAACTCGCCGGGCTCTGAATCGACTCATGGACACAAGGACACTATACAAAGCCGGCCTAAGCGGCAACAGTCGAATGACATTTAAATATACCGTTCACGACCTCTCGCTTCCATACAGCACAGTCCAGGAATTCATCGACTACGTGGCAGACAACCTCGAAATATGGCCACTCTGGCTGTGCCCCCTGCGTGCCACTGAAACCGTTGGCTTCCACCCCTACACGATGGAGCCTGGAGGAGAGACGCCGCAACCGATGCTCAATGTGGGTGTGTGGGGAGCATCGTCAAAGAAGATTGATAGGTTCGTCCGTCAGAACCGAGATCTCGAGGCGAAGGTCATGGAGCTAGGCGGGCGCAAGGTTTTATACTCTCACGCGTACTACACCGAGTCGCAATTCTGGGACGTTTACGATAAAGATTGGTATACAAAACTGCGAGATCGGTACAGCGCGACGAGTTTACCGACGGTTTATGACAAGATTACGGTTGATGTGAGCAAGGAACGGAGGAGAAAGTCATTGAAAGACAGGCTGGCGATCACGTGGCCGGTTGCTGGCCTCGTCGGTGTTTGGTCTGCAATACGGAAGTGAGAGCAGAATGCTTTATACGGCCGATCAGGGAATGGTGGTCCGATGTCTATGGGTCATGTTCATTATGCGGTGTCATTGTTTGAATGTTTGTAATGGGTTATGAGAGCATGATGCCATGACGGTGCGGAATGTCTATGTCGATGTGGTTAATCCGTGTTCTTTTGGCGTCAAATATTCTGCATCCTGCATACTGAGCGGAGTTCGGGTTATTCTTCTGATACTTGTCACATTTCGGATTCTGCTGTCGGTAGTAACTTTAGCATCAAGACCTTGTGTTGCGCGTCATGTTCTGGAACTTGTTGGGATCATGCATGTGTCAATAATGCTGTTGATATTCGCAGGTATACGGCTGTCAAATTGTCACAAGATATCAAACCTCTACTGCTGGCCCATGATCTCCATATATCGGATCTCTGTTAAACCACGGTACCTCAGCAATGGCATCAATCTTTCCTTCTTCGCCCCTTTTGCCGTAGCACATATCCCAGTGGCAGCCTTTGGGATAACTTCCGACCATCTCGAATCCGCTGCCAAAATCATCCAGCAAGCGGTGAGAAACGCCGGCCGGTACAATGATGACATCGCCCTTCTCAACTACAGGCTCGATCCGGCCTTCATTATCTTCGCCCCCAAAACAAAGCTTAGCGCGCCCATGGCTAATGCTCAGAACTTCGTGTGTTGTACTGTGAAAGTGACTCGTGCTGTACATGGTATATCGCCATTGCGGCTCGACGACACCAAGGGAGGTAAGGCGAGATTCGATGGCTGATACACTCGTTGACGAAAAGGCGGAGTGATAGATCAATAGGGGTTTGTTTTGGATGCTTGTGTTTGGGAACAGTCCATGTGCCGGGATGAGGTGCTTGGACACGCGCAGTGATGCCAAGGGCGCCAGGCTGGCTTTGGAGCCCATGATCGTGTGTTCGAGCGTGGAATTCTTCTTTGGGTATGTTTGTTGGTGAATATCTATAGGGTAAGCTGTGATACTCGGTCACAGACCTATCTTGGGTAGAAGGGGAAAGAAGCTGTAAGTCGACATGTGTAAATAAGTTGAGAATGGGGTGAAGAAATATTGACGTCATACCCGGCGTGACCGCTCATCATTGCTTAATCTATTCTCATTATTATCATAAGTCTATTCTTTCCGCGCCCGGGCAGAGTCTTTTAGCACACGACGAAATATCCTCTCGTCCTGGTCAATTGAGCCCACCGTGCATTTGACAACATGACGTGGAGGTACAACACGCCTCAAGACCAGTTCCAACCATATGTCCTTCATTACAGATCCTTCAGGAACTTCACGTTTCTTTCCAAGCCGATGCAATAGCGTTCCAGTACTGGTCAGGATGCATCCGCATATGCCCAACATGGCCACTGCCATCGAAACGCACCGCATCATAGGCGTAGCCCTTGCCCTTCGCCTCGGCCATATTCTCCTCGATATCCTCCCAGCCAATGAGCGGATCCTCCTTACTATACAGATACAGTTTGCGTGATCCCTTGGAAACATACTTCGTGTCGCCAATGGCCGCGACGCTGAAGACGGGCGCGCTTTCCCGGCCGGTGAGGTGCTCGAAGCTGTGATTCAGAAGAAGGAAGACGCCCATGATGCACTGTGTCACAACGAACGGCCAGGGAAACCAACCAGCGGTGCCAAGGGTCATGGCCAGAGACCAGCGCTTGAGGTTGTTCCAGGTCATGATCACGCTGCCGGGCGTCGAGTCGTAGCTAGACAGGCGATGCGGCATGGGGCGACCAAATCTCTCTTGGTAGGCGTGCAGCGTTCCAGCGTAGTTGATGCCGCCCGTGTTGGACATGACATGCATGAGGACCGCATCTTCGTTGGGGTCTGGTGTTCCGGACGTTGTCGAGGGATAGGCGGCTTCGATGATGGGCTTCATGTTGTTGGAGCGGGTCTGAAGGTCCTCTCTCATGGCTTTGACGATGGGCGAAAGCACGGCGATCTGTTTTGCGTGCGGAAAGAGTGTGCGGAATCCATCGGCGTATTTGGAGACGTGTTTTGGTATGGCGTCGCCCCAGCTGTAAATGATGACGACCCTTGGGTGATCTGCTGATGGCTGCGTGCCCTCTGTTACTGGTTCGCCCTCCCGAAAGAAAATTTGGTCGGTGATGGCCGTGAAGCCTGGGAACGGGTCTGATTTCGGTGCCATTTTGAGGGCTTCTTGGGGCGTGCACCACGAGCAATGAGATAAACTAAGAGTGAGATAATAAACGAGCAGACGTAAGCTTTGGTGAGGAAAGTTGAGCAAAGGATTTGGGCATCAACTGCACATTCGCGAGGAGGGAGCATCAGCCTTCATATTTTGAACGTCAGATCCATTTTCTGATGACTGATCTCATCTCGGCGATAAAATCTTATCAAAGGCCCGGAGACTCGGTAGGCGTCCTGCGGCCACGCCGTTGTTGGGACGCGCCGTGGACCCAGGAACCTAACTGTTGGGACTCGCATCGGAGCAGTAGCCTGAAAACCGTACGACGGCCGGCGTTGGGCATAGTCCACGGAGGATCCGTTACTCTAATCTGGCGTGCCTGGGAGGATCGCATTGCGCGTTGTGTGGCGCCTCAAATCTCACACCAGTCATGGACTCATGGCGCCGCCCTGTGTGGACTTCTTAGGGGGCTTTCAGTTACGAGTGTGAGCCACTGAGGGTGAGGGTGAGACTCATCTCACTCACGCTAAATACTCAGGAGTGAGCTTGGCTGCGTGCGCTGACGGCTCCCACAGGTCCACTTACCGAGGCTAAAGCAATTGCTGTTTAGAAGTGGCCGGACGCCCAAGCTCCTGGAGCGTTGTCCAGATTGAGCGGGCCTGAGTCAGGTGACATGTGCAAAGCCGAGGCTCACTCAGGAACGGGTTCGGTTTGAACTCCGCCCGCCCTCTCTGATCTTGGAGATGGACAAAGTGAGAGCCAACAAGAGTTCGAGAACCGGACCCACATTGTCGATACCCCAGAAGCTTCCCCGGATTCCAGCGACTCGACGATAGTTCAGCTTCATCCAAGTTCTTTTCGTGTATTACTGATCCTAAACTCAGATTTCTCCTCCATCTATTGAACGGCCTTATCGACTTACTGACCGGTGGTGTTGCAAAGGCTAATCAGCATCCCTGTGATTGAGCCTCTTGGCGAAGAGGACAAGACTTTGACCCTTGAAATCAGCGGGATCCTGTCGATATCATGACGTCTGAGGAGCTTGTAACATTCTCAAGTGCTACGACGATAACAAAACTCGGTCCCAATGTGTACGGAGCAAACTTGGTTCCCAGCTGGTGCACCGGCTCAGGTCAGTCGCTTGTTCTCTACGCCCATTGGGCTCATCATTGACAGCGCGCAGTTCCGAATGGCGGTTACGTCGCATCGGTGATTCTCCGTGCGGCATCGCAGCACCTTACAACACGCGGACAACCCGACTCCATTTCGGCGCATTTCGAGTACGTCAATCGCACGGAGATTGGTCCTGCAATTCTTATCGTCGATGAAGTCAAGCTCGGCCGCAATCTTTCAACGTTGCACGTCTCCCTCTATCAACATGATCTCCAATCATCAGCTCCCTGGTTTACGCCGTCTTCCAGAAAAGAGGTCGTCGCCTACTTGATCAATACGCGCTTAACTGTCGAGAAGGGCCTGACGCTAGAGAGTGGCTGGGCAATGACTCCGCCAGCCAAGACCGCCAATCTCTCCCTCCTCGGTCAGGATAAGGACCCCCACTGGGTGCGCAAGCTAAAGCTCAATGCTCGCGCGACGTCCTACGCCCGCGCTCACAACAATCTCGAGTACTACGTTCCGCGCGAGGACTCACGCCGTGGAATCGTCGATCTCTGGTTGCGGCTGAAAGACGGCCAGAAGTTTACGAATGCATCGCTCGGTTATGTTGTGGACGCGTATCCGACAGTAATAGAGGCATGGAGACCGAAGCGCGACGAGGAACAGACACCTTTTCGGTCGAATGAGATGTTTTGGTACCCTACCCTTGCTCTGAATCTGGACGTGAAGAAGGCTTTGCCGGAGGAGGGAGCCGAGTGGCTCTTCCTTCGGACAATGGCAAAGGTCATCCGAAATGGCAGACTAGATCTCGAGGTTATTGTTCTAGATCAGGGTGGAGATGTTGTCGCTCTGAGTACTCATGTGAACATGGTTTTGCCCGCTGAGAGGAACTTGAAAGAAAGGAGTCACTCGAAAGCCAAGATTTAGATGCAAGGCCTAGACGTATACTCGACCTGATATGGTTCAGTTCATTTTTCCAAGGGCATTATGTATCAGATCTCATATCCTATGTACATATCCATAATACCCCTGACTCATCATGTTTTGCATCATTCAGACGTGCTTGGTTCAAGGCGCTAGTTGAGGCGTGAAGCCGACCGCAAACTATTGCACCTTCCCTCTGGAGTCAACCGACCAGATTTCTTCGATAACCCCATTACGATGGGCGTAATACCAGTCGTGCAGGTTAATCGTTGGATCAATATGACTGGGAACCATTTCAACCCGATCTCCCACCGCCAAGGCGGGAGTTTCCTCCTCCCAACTAAGCGAACCATGCTCGTCTCCCAGGTTGGCGTGGGTATAGCGTCGGTCTTTGCATTCAGCAAGTCCGCTGTCCGTCGTCAACGACTTCAGCCCCGTATCAATCGTTACTTGCCGCTCGCCCTGCTTGCTGACAACGGTCGCTAACAGCGTTAAGCTATTGGAGTAGAACGAGCCGACGGCGTTGCGGTAGTCCGTATCCATGAAGATGAAGGATCCCGGCTGCAATTCCGTGACTCCTGGAACCGTAACGCAGAATTCAGCGGTGCCTGTGCCGCCGGTTGTGACCACCTCGATGCCGAAACCTGCTTTCCGAAGCGCTTCTGCCGTCTCGGTCAGCGTCTTCATGGACTCGAGGCACTGTCTCTTTCGGTCCTCCCGGTCGTGGAGGTGCTGCAGGTGGCCCTCGTATCCCTGTACACCAATCAGGTTGAGATGCTTGAGATTTCCAATGTGTCTCGCCAGAGCCAAGGCAGGCTCGCCTGCGGCCACGCCAGTCCGATGCAGTCCAACATCCAAGTCAATCAGTGTGAGAATAGGCTCCTCGACACCGGCCTCCTCCAACGCGTCGTTGATTGCCGTTGCACCAACTTCGCTATCGATGACAATTCTAATTTTCTTGTTTTTCTTAAAAAGTTCAACAAGACGCTTCACTTTCGGTTTGCCAATGATTTCGCACGTAATGAGGATGTCGTCGAAGCCCGCCGCCGTGATGGCTTCTGCTTCTGACACTTTGGCCACACAGCAGCCTTTGGCACCGGCAGCAGCAAGCTTGCCGGCAAGAGCTGCGCTCTTTGTTGTCTTGAGGTGAGGGCGGATGTTGACTCCGGTGGGAAGTAGGCTGTCGAATAGCTTCTTGATGTTTGCTTCCATGAGGTCGAGATCCACGATCATGGAAGGTGTGTCTAGGCTGTCTAGCCCGTCTCCCACATTGACAGTGTACATTTTGGCGACGATTTTGGGTTGTTGAGATGAGATTACATGACGTGAACAGGTTCTCAATGCCAAAGATGAAGTGAACACGGGACTCCAAGATCCCGCATAAGATCGGCTGCGGGGTCGGCAACCCCAGAGCGAGATAAGACGATTCGGGGTGGATCTCCGGCGTCGGAAACGGCGTGACTAATCAGTCTGTGTCCTGTTGTCCGCGGAATACCTCGAGCATGATTTGATCGACATGTTCATTTCCTCGCTGAATACGCTCACATATGGAAATGGAAGAAAGTCAAAATTTCAGGCATGGCACTGCTCTCCATCTCGGTCAACATGTATGTCTCACAGCGCACACGAACACACCATAATTTGAGCTGCCAACGCACATGCGCCTTAGGTTTTTTGGCGCCTAGACGCGGGACCCGGCAAGTTGCGCTTGAACGATGGATCTTTTGCCCGGCTCGGCACGTCTGCAGGTTCAATAGAGGTTGGCTCCAGCCAACAACCGATGCAGGGTTGCATCATCCATGCAGCACTGTTCATAATCAGCACTATACTTATCCGTCCTACTCAAAGCAGCATTCAAGGGCTGATCACACGTTGCCGATAGGCCATCGATGAGGGGCATGTTGTACAATGGGTATAAGACAGCAGTCAGAGTAGGACTGGGAACTTGCTGCATATCAGGCCAGACAAATGAGACGAATGAGGTGGCTATGATATGAAAGCATATGATCTTGCTCTAAGACAGCTCATGACTGAGGTAGAGGAAAATGAAAGAGATCTGCAAATCTGGCTGTTATAGAATATTTGTATATATATCCCACGTGCCTATTTGAGTCTATGGTAACAAGCATGCACAACATCTTATCGAACCTTCTCACCAAACCCCCCGTGACTATGGTGCTACTTGATGCGCCAGAGCTTTCGCTAGCCTCGACCGGGGCTTTTTTGTCTATCGCGACAATTTCGACACTAATTTTACGAATCTTCTATAATTTGTACTTACACCCCTTATCCAACTATCATGGCCCATGGTATGCGGCTTCATTCTCACTTTGCTCCGCTGTCATATCTGTATTTGGGCTTGAGCCACATTGGTTGCTGTACCTGGCCAAAAAATATGGATGTGAGTTGTTGCCCGTCTTGTTCTTTCATCTGAGATTACCACGAGATTCACTAGCTAGTGTCCCGTCCAATCTTTTGGAAAGTGATAGACTAGTACTAACTGATCGGCGAAGTTGAGAAGCCTATCCGCATAGCACCATCGCTTCTGCTTTTTCCTCAATCCAAGGCTGTCAAGGATATCTACTGGGATTCGAAATGCAGTAACAAAGCTTCCCTTTACGGTTCCGGTGCACTTGGCCCACCGCACCTATTCTCGACCATTGATGGGAGTGTGCATAAGTCCTTGAGAAAAGCCCTCGGCGGTCCATCGGTATGTCTCTGCAACAGTTCTACGCTGTTAGTTGCATCCTCGGCGCGCCTTTGACTAATACTGAACTGTCCAGTGGTCCGTAGGTGGATTGAAGAACAATTGGGAACCACGAATAGACGCACACATTCAACTTTTTGTGCAACGGATGACCGAATTTGCCGAGAAGAATCAGGCAGTTATTCTCTCCGACAAAGTAGCGTGAGTATTGACATGCTCTTAGCAAAGATGCAAAAAACCTTGTGACAAGGCTAACCTCATCTAAGAGAGTTCGCGGCCGATATCATGACGCTAGTCTGTTTCACCAACCCCTGGGGCTTCGTCGACAACAGTCGTGACGAGCGCAACATGCTCA